CTGACCACAGGCTCTGTCCATCCACCCTCCCCCATTTCAGTCCCAGTCACATTCCTCCCCCAATGTCTCCCCCAGCCCCTTTCTGTTCATCCAGCCATCCTGGCTTGACTCTACCTTCTCCAGCCAGATCCCCTGGCATCTCACCTCAGTGCCCTCTGTCCCAGCTCCCTGTTCTCTGCACCCCGCCCCCCCCAACCGTATCCCTCCATCCTCATTCTTCTCCACACCCCTCTGCCCCCCTCTGCCCTGCTGAGCGCTGCTGGAGAAACTCGCCCAGCCGTGCAGACTGCCGCCATGACAAGTCCATGGTCTCTGGCCTCAGTAGGGGTCACAGCTCTGCTCAGCAATCCTTACACCACACCGTCGCCAGGCGGCTCTCTCCCCATTCTTGTAAGCCCTACTTCAAACCTTCCGTACTCTCTTCAAGTACCCTACCTTGCTCTGGCTTTCCTCCAGCAGATCTACTTGCCTCCTGTCCTACCTAGAAAGTGAAACCCGCTGGCAAGACTTCTTCCCATCCCTCCACCCACCCTCCCCCAGCCGCAAACTCACCAGCAGCTGCCCCATGTCCTCACCAGCTTCCCTTTGGCCCTGAAGAAGAGGCAGCCCTCCTCCTGTGTCTGCGTCAGGGGGCCCCTCCTTGTGTTCTTGGCTCCCTTTGAGCAACTGGGGCCCTCTCTTGGCTGTTCCCAGCCTCATCTATGATTTTCACTTCTCCCTCTCCTGGCTGCTTCTTTATAATGTGCCTGGGTAATCACGGACTAGTGGAGAGACCATGGGTTTGGAATGCCTTTCCTCTTTGTTTCTCTTTCAAGACTTTGCTCAAGTTCAATTCCTCTATGAAGCCTGCCCTAATTTTCGCCTCCAGGAGAGTCAGGGCAAGCTTTGTAGAGAAGCTGGGCTTGGGCAAAGCCAGTGGCTACTTCTGGCTTTGACTTCCTCGGTGCCTCCACTGTTCCAGTGCAGACTCCCAGGCTTGCCTGGCATGAAGGAGTCTTCCAAGAAATGCTCAAGATTGAAGGAATGTAGTGTGAGTGACATTCCTCTCTGGCCCTGGGGTTGGGGGGGTGAGGGTGCGGGGATTTCCCTGGCTGTCCCAGGGAATCTCACGGGCATCTATCTCCTTCCCTCCCCTCACACAGGGTCATACAGGGCCTGGGGACAGACACCTGCCAGTCCCTACATCTTACCTAGCCTCAGTTTCTGCACCTGTACACAGGCACCAAACAGCAGTAATGCCTGTCTGTTGAGAACCTTTGATAAGACAAGAAAGTGAAAGCATTTGAACACTGCCACATATTCTGTACCCCTGACCAGTGCTTAACTCCTGTGACCTCAGCTTTCCCACTTTTAAAGTGGAGATGTTGGGAATTCCATGGCGGTCCAGTGGTTAGGATTCTGAGCTTTCACTGTCAGGAGCCCAGGTTCGATCCCTGGTTGGGGAACTAAGATCCCGCAAGCCACGTGGTATGGCCAAAAAAAAAAAAAGTGGAGATGATAATTCCCACCTCCCTAGGAGAGCACCCCCCAGTCAGAAAATGTTGGTTATTAGGACTGTCACCTCCCTTCCCACTCCAGTGAGACAGCTGTGAGGGCCGTGCTGGGGTGGGAAGGGTCCAGGACAAGCAGCACCTGAGGCCCCTGCTCTGGGCCCAGGAGATTGAGAGCCTTAAGGGTAGTGGCAGCCCTGGTCTCTAGCTGGCCTAGAGAAGAACCTCCTGGGGCCCTGCCTGGCCTGGAACAAGGTCCTTCACCCCCTGAGGACAGGTGGACATGGGCCAGGACTTGCTCCAGCTCCAGCCAGCATGTCCCTGGACCCAGCCAGTCCTGGGCCCTAGTAGTATGCTTTTGAGGTCACTCTTGGTCCAAGAGCTTTTTTCAAGCCCCACACCTGGCTGCCTACAGCTGCCTGTCAGGTGGCTGTGTGCTCTTAACCTCTCAGAGGCCTGTCTCTGGGCTCCCCAGACTAGTGGGGTGGGTGTCTCTGTGGGGAGATGTGTGTGCGGTGTGTGCGTGGGCACAAGGGGCAATGTGAGCTCTGATTGAGGTTCTCTCTCAGGGCTTGGAGAGGATGGGGGAGCAAGAAGGAGGGGAAGGAGGAGGGAACTGGAAGAGATGAGAAGGGACAATAAAAACATGACAGAAAGGGAAAGATTCAAGGTAGTTTCCCTTGTATCCCCTCACCCATCCCCACAAAATGGTGGAAAGAGGAAGCTGAGGCTCAGAGGGGCGCTGACAGAACCGACCCTCCCGGCAACCCCTCCTCCTGTCCATCCATCTAGACAGCAAACCCTCTGTCTGTTCTCTGCATGACCCCTAGTCCTCCTCCATCTTTCCATCATGTCACCATGTCCACCTTCCTACCTGGTGAAACTGGCAGCCCCTGGGCAGAGGAGGAAGGGAAGGGGAGGAAGCCTCCTACAGGAGAATCAAAGCTCTTTTGGGTTCTGTCTTCAGGTGGAGCAGAGGGTCAGAGGGATGACTGAGCATGTGTGTGCTTGGATATGACACACACGTATACCTCGCTGATAACACGTGGAGCCAGGCAGCTGGGTCTGGTCCCGAGCGGCCCTGTGACAGGGAATGGGGGACGGGCGATGTGGCTCTGCACACACGCGGAGTGAGCGGTCTATGCCGAAACACGGAGCCCGCTGGGTACAACCGAAGAGCCTTGTGGAGCGGCGCTAGCGTGTGCGGGCTCGTGCGTGCGCAGGTCTTTGTGAGCGCCAGACTCGAGCCGCGCGGGGAGGATCCGACAGCAGGGAGCGCAGCGCCCTCTGCTGGCCAAACTGCCCGGCCCGCGGCACCTAGTCAGCCCCATGCCCTAGGCGGACCCTTGCCCTCGGACTGGCCAGTACCTCCCTCGGACTGGGTGCCCCGCCCATCCCTCAGGGCCTGTCCCTCATAGGCCCACCGTTCACCCCGTCATGCTCCCCGTGGGGCCCGTCGGAGAAAGGAACCAAGTTGCTGGGCTGGATGGAGAGGGCTGCCTCCCAGTCACGGCTGTGCCTCACTTGAGTCTTGTGTGGAAGTCTTGCGAGGAGGTCTGATATTCTCGTCCACAACCGCCGGAGGAGGAAGCTGAGGCTCAGACTGGGGTTGAGAGAGCCGACCCTCCCAGCAACCCCTCCTCCTGCCCAGCCATCTAGGCAGCCAACCCTCTGTCTATTCCTGGCCTTGACCCCTAGTCCTCCTCCATCTCTCCATCCTGTTACCTTGTCCACTTTCCTACCAGATGAAACTGGCAGCCCCCGGGCGGGCGGAGGAATCCCCTCTCTTCTGTACCCACTCCCAGACAGTGGGGTGGCGGGGGGGGGCTTGGGGTAGCTGCTTCCTGGTGGCCCAGGGGACCCAGACCTGAAAGACTCCCCAGGGTCCCCTCTCCTCCACGCCGCATCTGGCCCAGACCCGGGACTCGGGGAACAGGAAGCGCGGCAGCGGTGGATTCGGTGGACGAGGTCGCCCCCTGCTGGTCGGAGCTGGCACTTGCGCCGGTCTCTTGGGTAGGGGCAGGGGTGGAGGCAGCAGGTGGGGGACTGCTCCTTTACCGGGACTTCACACACACTGCCATTTGGTGTTAACTGCAAGCCGCCAGGCAGGCAGGGCAGGGTGCCGGCTGCCGCTACCATTTACATATACTAGACTCAAGTTTGGAGGAGGGCTGGGGAGTCTGCCCCTCCTCACCCCCAGCCCCTGGGACTGACCCTGGCCAGCCACTGTCTATAGCTTCACCCATCGCTTCTCAGTCCATCTCCTGGCCCTGCTGGGCCCTCCTCTTCTGAGGCAAAACTGATAACCATGGCGGAGAGGTTCCCACACCAGAGAGAAGCGCGAGCTCAGGTTTAAACACTCTCGGGAGAGCAGAGGCCCAGAACTGCGGTGTGGCTGGGGTCCCAGCTGTAGACGTGCTGGTTTTTCTTCACACTAGCAAATCGAGCCCTCGATCTGAGGTGCCTGTCCCTGTTTGCACAAGTGTTTCCCTTTTATCCATTGTTTCATTTTATCCCCATAACAATCCATGAAATGGGTACAAATATCCCTATTTTACAGATGAGGTAATTAAAACTCAGAGAGTTTGTGTTATCCAAAGTTGCACAACCAGGTTTGAACTCAAAGTCAGAGTAACTCTGATGAAGAGTTGTGTCCTGAGCTGTTGTGTCCCCCTTCCGCCACAGAGAGCAGCCCAGTCCCAGGAATCTCACTCCCTCCCTTCATCTGACCCCACGACGACCCTGTGAGGAAAGCATTTTTTATCCTCACTTTATAGCTTAAGAGATGGGAGGCTTAGTGAGTTTAAGGGGGTTTCCTAAGGAGTGTCAGTGGCAAGGGGACAAGGGCAGGTAAGGGCAGAGCTACAGGCCCAGAGGGGAAGACAGTGGGAACCATGGCTGGTAGAGGCTGGGCTCGGTGAGGACCCTTCCTTCTCTGCTCCCACTGCCCCCTCCTGACCTCTAGCTCTGTTGCTACATTTGGTCTCTTTCTCTCTCTCCTCCCAACCCGCTCTCTGACTCTCTAAGCCTCCCCTGGCCTCAGCTTCCCTGTCTTTCCACAGAGGATTGTGGAGACGGTGGAAGAGGGTGTGGGATGATGAGGAGGAGAGGTGATGAGCCAGAGTATCCTGAAGTGAGGCTTCTGGAGAGAGACGAGGCCGAACATGAATGTCAGTGGTTTATTGGGAAGCCTCCGCCCCTAACACCAGCAGCCCTACCCCATGCATCCTTGAGCAGAAATAAATAAGGTGGCATGTAATGAACCAGGTTGCCTCCCTCCTAAAGAGCTCTGGGGAGGGTCAGCCTCTGCTGTCCCGGGGGCTGGGATCCCCCTGGCTCTTGAGGAGGGGCTGGGGAGAGGGAGGGGACACAGACTGCCAGCCACCCCTTCCTGGCGTGGCCTGGGGCAGCCTGCAAGCTTAGCACTGCATTCACAATCCCTGAGGTCTGACCTCGCTGCAGCAGTCTGCCCTGTGCCAGAGACACCCCTTCCCCACCAGACCCCAGCCCCTGGCCCCCACCCCAAGAGTCCCATCCTGTGTTCCTGCTCCAACTCTAACTGTTCAGCCTGGGGAGCCAGCACCTCCTCCTCAGCTGCGGGGGAAGGAAGCTTTGCCATCATGTGTTTCTCTTCTTTCCCCCTGCAGTTCAGGGGCTGAGAGGCTGGCCCCTGCGTGATGCTGGTCACTGGGCAGTCAGCTCCATGGTCTTCCTCCGCTCCTCTCTGTCCTCCTCAGGCTCAGACGCGCCCTTGATGATGGCCACACGCTCACTTAGCCTCAGGGAGTTGGGGGAGAACAGGTAGAAGTAGAGGATAGCAGCCAAGGCAGCCCCCATGATGGGCCCCACCCAGAACACCTGGTGGAGACAGAGCCGTGTCAGTGGGCTGAGCCCCAGGCCTCAGAGACCAAGACCTCCCCCTCCAGAGGACAGACCCATGGGCCTCTCAGAGGAGACAGACAGACTTCCAGACCTCCCGAAGGAAAGACTTCTCTCCGCTTCAGGGGCAGATACACTGACACCCCACTCCCCAATGACAGGGACATGGACCACAGACACCCAGATCCTCAGAGGAGACAGACATCTCCAGAGGGACAGGGCCCCGCCAACCCCACCCTAAAGAGAGACCAATGAACCTTCAGAGGGAACAGACGTGGAGATGCTCGGAGAGGTGAACAGAACACCTCTCCCTTCCACACAGGGAGAGCTCTCAAAGGAGATGACAGACAGATTGTCCAGAGGGACAGACCCACAGGAAGGAAGACTCTCCCCATTCCCCCAACAGGGACAGATAAATAAAATATCAAAGAGGACAGACACACGGACCCCCTGCCCCCCACCATCCAGAAAGATGGAAGCAAAATCCTCAGAGCGCGACACTGGAGTACAGATCCTTTTCCCTTCCCTAGAGGGACAGACACACATAGGCAGCCCCTCCCCTCAAGCCAGGGTCCCCTGCCTGAAAAACCTACCCCGCCCCTGTCCTTGTTCTGGCTGTATCCCCTTCTCTCTCCAGCCACCCCCAAGCCCTAGGCCGCCACCAGTCCTGTTAGCTGTCAGCTGCTAAGGCCGGGTTTCTAGGCCCTCATTGCCAGGGAGCCAGGGGAGGCCCAGACTCACCCAGTGCGAGGGGCTGAACTGCTTCATGATCACTGCGGGGCCGAGAGAGCGGGCCGGGTTCATGGAGCAGCCGGTGAAGTAGATCTGGACAGAGAGAGGGAGGTGGTGAGGCGGGCTTGTCTACTCCCACCCGGCCCGGAGTCTCCCTGGGTCCCCCAGCAGTTCAGGGGCTCAGCCAGGTCTCCAACTGTCTCCCAATGCCTAGGCTGGTGCCCTCTCCCTCCACAGGTTCCTACGGACCCCTCCTCTCCTCTCTGTCTTGCGCTTGGGCTTGGCTTCCTGCCCCCATCCCAACTCCCACTCACTTCCATCTTTCCTTGGACTGGAAAAGGTTTGAGGGGATCAAGTCTGGGCCAGAGTAGAGCAGCTCCACTCCAGGCCTTAACTGCCAGGCTCACAGGTCCAGAAGGTACTCCCCATTATTTGCCCCAAGGGGCAGCACTGCTCACCCCCACTAGGTGGCCCAGTGTGACGGACAAGCCAATAGACAGGGCTGGGGAGCCCACAGGGCCGATGCGGCGGCAGTCGGTGGAGGAGAAGATGCAGAGCGCCAGCTGGAAGGTCAGAATCATTTCCACCACAACGGCCTGGCCCGGAGTTGTGTTGTTGTTGAGCTGCAAGGGAAGGGTGTGTTAGGGGCCCTGCCTTCTTCTGGCTTTATGGCCAGGGACTTGGGGGGATGGGCTTTTGGCCTCCAGGGACATCTGGAGCCTGAGCACCTGGAAGCCAAGCCCTGTCACATCAGGGAGGTCATCTGCTGAAGAGACTACATACTTCGCAGTGAGCACAAAGCCTGGAGCGCAAAGCTGTGGCTAAAGGGCAAGTGTGAGGGAGCGCTTCCTGGACACAGGCCTGTCACGCGTTCTGCCCAGTCCCCAGTCCCCACAAGCTGGCATTTACCCTCCCTCCTATGGGCAGCTGCCCAGTTTGCTTACAGCACCCCCCAAGCCAGCCTCCCGCCTGTGCCTGACCCGCTGCCAGTTCCAACCTCAAACCCGTCTCTCTGGTGGGGCTGACTCACCGCTTGACAATGGCCGAGAAAATCCTCCTCTGTGTTTGATTAATGAACCCAGTTTGCATGGGACATGGGGGCTGAATCTGGGGCTGCGTGAGGGGGAGGCAGCAGGGGGCCAGGAGCAGGAACCAATACTCATCAGAGACTGTATGCACTGGCCCCACATCAGGGAGTTCACAAGCACAGTTTCTAAACATAACTCCCTGACTCCTGCTGTTATGCAGGAGTCCCACATAATAGTCCCTGCTGTTATGACCATTCCCACGTAGTGTGAGTGAGAAAAATGAGACCAGGAGAGGCCAGGGCCACAGAAGACAGCATCACAACCCACCTCTCTCTGATGGTTCCATGAGACCACTCCACTGAGGGGCACACAGGAGCAATGAGGTGCCCGAGAGGACAAAAGAGCTCAGAGGTAAGACAGGAGAAGAGAGAGAAGTTTTGGGTAAGAAAAGAGGGGCAGCAGGCAGGCACCAGGAGAGAGGCCAGGATGGGGCAGCATGAGGGGGTCAGGCAGAGGAGGTGAATATGAACCACAGCGGTGGGCTGAGGGGCACACATGGAGATCCATCTTCCCAGCCTTAGGAAGCTGTGACCTTCCTGGCAGAGGTGTGCACTGGACCACTCTGTGGCACCCATTCTGGAGATGGGGTTTGGGGGCCAGGTCCAGAGCCCACCACAGGGTCCCTGCCCCACAACCAGCCCCGTTGGCACTCACCGCGTTGACGGCCAGATTGCCTCGGGCATCGCGTGGTGCCACCCCATAGAGGATGCCAGCCCCAGCAATGGCGCCCACCAGCTGGGCCACCATGTAGAAAGCTGCCCGGAGCAGGGAGATCTGGTTGCCCAGTAGGAGGGCCAGCGTGATGGCGGGATTCATGTGGCCACCGCTCACAGGCCCCAGGGCCTGGGCCATGGTGCCTATGGCCAGGCCGAAGGCCAGCGAGATCTGCAGGATGGTGGGCAGCGCCGACGGCCACTTGAGGGCCGAGCCGAGGCCGAAGAAGACGAGGATGAGGGTGGCCAGGAACTCTGCGAACACTGCCTTGAGAAAGGCCGCGGAGCACACTTCCTTCTTCATGGTCTCAAGGCAGCAGCTCCCGCAGGGGTCGCACGTTGGGGCGGCGGTTTAGCGGGCCGCGGGGACTGGCTCCCGGGCGCCGAGCGCTCTCCCGCGCCCGCGGCGTGGCTCGCCTCCTGGCGCGGGCCCTGTGGGGCGCGCTATATACAAGGCAGGTGCCCCGCGGCGGGGCGGGCGGGCGCGCGGGCGGGGGCAGTGGGCGGCTCCCGCACCAGGCGGCCAGCACTGCGCGCTGGGAGGGAACTTCGAGGCCGCCGCGGTCTCGCCGCTGACCCCGGCCCCGCGCTCCCCTCCCCCCGGCCCGGGCAGCAGCCCGCCCGCTCGAGCCCGCTCGGGCCACGTGACCCGGCTGGCGGTTGTAGACCCGTCGGGCTGCCTGGGACCCGCGCATGGTGCGCTTCGGGCGGCTCCTGTGCTCTACTCCGCGCTGCCTGTCCCGGGCCCTCCGGGAGACTTTGTCGGGTCCGGGCTCTCCCGTGCTACCGACCTCCGGCCGTCTGCCTCCGCTGGACCTTTATCTCTGGCCATGGTCTTCCCCTTTTCTTCTCTTCGGGCGCTGGGTCCAGCTCCTCCTTTTCCTCCTGCGACCTGGGCATCCTGACCGGGCTTCGCGCCCGGCAAGGTTGGAATGATGCGCTTCCTTGAGGACAGCGCCGCCGCCATCCACTCCCTACCGGCCGGTGGCAGGGGCGGGCGGCGGGCAGGGCCGTGTGGGGTGGTCCGGCCATCTTGGGCCTCTCCCCCACTCGGCCCGGCAGGCCTCCAGGGTTGGAGAGGGGGCGTTTTGAGATAAGTGGGCACCGTGCCAGCCTGCGCCGGACTCAGCCGTCCTATCTACTCTATTTCACCTTTCCTCTCTATGTGATTTTACTCTCTATGACTTTGTCTCTACATCCTTTTCCATGTCTGTCTCTCTTACATGTGGTCTTTTTTAGTTCCCCAAAGTCAAGTCCTCCTACCCCTGGACTCGGTGACACTTCCTTCCGGTCCGTTCCTCGCCGCCCCCCCCCCTTCTTGCCCCTTCCCTCTGAGCTCCCAGCTGCTTTCCACCCACCCCTCCCACCCTTCCCTCTTCCCACCCCCAGGTGAGGCATGTGGGGAATGAGGCTGGAGGGCCCTCGAGGGCTTGGAAGAGGGGCAGGGACCCACCGCCAGGATTCCAGGGGTGGAGATGCACTGAAGACCCCACCACCACTACCATGACCTGTGGTTGGGAAGCACTCAGTACAGTGCTTGGCACAGAGTAAGGCTCAATAAAGTTTCCTCAAGTTGTGACTGTAATGTTAAAACCCCCCTGAGCGCTCTGTGTGGAGCAAAGTGAGAAGGTGCAGCACAGGGAGAGGACAGGTGCTCCTCTGTCAGGGGGCTGAAGGGAGGGGCGTGGAGGGAAGCCAAGGACCTGGAGGAGCGGGATGTGGGCTCTGGCAGCTAAGATGCCAAAGAAAACAGGGAAGGAAGAAACCTCGCTATTGTTCCTGCTCTGCCCCGGTTTCCTGCTGGAGCAGCTCCTCCCCCAGGTCTCTCCTCTTAAGGCAGGAGGCCCATCTGTCCCTTCTGCCATGGGTCCTGGGGCCCTGCCCCTGGCAGAGCATGGCAGCTGTATTCAGGATCTTCATCTGGGCTTAGGGCTCAGGGCTCTGCGGGCCTGGTTCAGACTGGAACAGACTGGAACAATGACGCTCATGACCCCAGAGGCCTTTGGGGACTAAGCCCTTTCACTGCTGAACTTGCCTCCAGTCTGCCCCCTTCCACCTTCTTTTTCATCCTCTCTCTTCAGGCACTGTTGTGAATCCACACGTGGAGTGGGAAGGATTCGGCAGTGTCACCAGGGGAAGGAAGCTCCTACTTGAGGATTTGAGACCAGTCCTTTATAGCCAACAAATGGCTTTGGCCTCCACTGTGTGATTAAATTCCGAGCTACCTGTGAGGAAGATCAGACTGAGAGGTTCTGCCTTGCCCAGGGTCACACATGACCTGAGATGGGACCCACGGCGTCGTCAGAAGTGGCCTGCTGTGGCTGAAGAAGGAGACCATGTCTGTCCAGATTGCTCAAGTGGGGGCAGCTGGTTACATCTCCTAGGCCTGTGCTTAAAGCCCTTCTGCCTCTCTCTAACCATCAGGGTTACTCTGTCCCCAGGTTGTCACAAGAGCGCCTATATGCTGGAATTATCTTTGCCCTGAGCAGTTGGACCCTTCCCTGCCACAGACCCAGAGGAATGCTTCCCTGGGACCACTCTGGGCCGGGAGATGGATCTTCCCATGTGTGGCACAGAAAGTTAGAATCTCTCGGGGGGAACCCCTTCTTCCTCTCCTGATAATGGGCCCCCTTGGTTCTTTGGGAGCAGTTTCTGGCTGAGGGTAGAAATGGTAGGGTAATTGGCAGTGGGTGATGCTGCCAGGACTCCACATATCCCCAGGTTTGGGGAAGGGTCATTCATTCATTCCACAAAGACTTACTGAGCACTTACTATGTACCAGGCACTGTTCTAGGCACTGGGGATATAGCCATGAGCCAGGAGACAACGTCTCTGCGTTGTGGAGCTAATATTCTAGTGAAAGGAGACAGACAATAAACAGTGGACATATTGAAATTATATAGTACAATAGAATGTGGTTAAGTGCTATGGAAAAATAGAATATGTTATGGGAAACTGGTTCTTTGCATTTTAAATGGTTGTCATGTGGGTCTTATTGAGAAGGTGACATCTGAGCAAAGACTTGAAGAGTGAAGCCAAATCTGGCGTCTGTACCCCAGCATCAAATTACATCTCAGAGACAGAGTTTTGGGTGAAGTAGAAAAGAATAGCTCTATTGTTTTGCCAGGTAAAGGGGGACACAGTAGGCTAATGCCCTCAAAACTGTGTGTTCCGCCCTGGGGGGGCCTGTGAGGAGTCTTATAGTCCAGGGCCAGGGTTGCCGATAAGGATCAGGGTACCTGCAGGGACCGCATTCCTTCAATCCAGAGATCATCTGGTGTCAGGTTATGATGGGCGAACTGTGACCTTCCCTGGAATGAAGAGTGCTTCATCACATCTTCCATTTGGTGAGGGTTTTAGTTCTTCAGAAGAGCTCAAAGATAACATTATGTATATATCCCTTGAGGGGGAACCAGGACCCTGCCCCCAAGGCTGTACTACTGTTTCTTGACTGCTTCTTCCTTGTCTCCATATCCCCTCCCTTCCCTGATTAGCAACTGTTTGAACCTGCCCTTTGGAACTCAGAGAAGGGGACACAGAAAGGCTTTTGTGCCCAGGAGCCCCACAGGGTCCTGCGTGGTTTCAAGAGGAGAGGGAAAGAACCGTGCACGTATCTGGGGAAGAACCTTCCAGGCAGAGGGAGCAGCCCGTGTTGCTGAAGCAGGAGAAAGGGAGGGTGGAGGGTGGCAGCAGTGGGCAGACCTTGTGTGTCACCTGAAGGACCGCAGGCTTCACTCGAAAGAGCGAGGGAGTCACTGCGCGGGGACTAGCACGGGCTGACAGAGTTTTAACACAAACGCCTCTGTTGATGTATAGAGAAGAGATGGGAGGGGCAGGAATGGAAGCGGGGAGGCGTGGCCTGGCGCTGAGTGCAGGTGCTGAAGGTGAGGGCGATGGGATCTGGATCCCTTGGAGGTAGAACTGACAGGGCTCCCTGGTGGAGTCAGGGCTGGGTGTGAGAAGGAGTCAAAGACGACTCAAGCCTTTTGGCCGGAGCAGTTGGAGAGATGGAGTTGCCATCAGTTGGGATGGGGAGGACTGTGGCAGAAGCAGGTTTGGGGAGACGAGCAGAAGGCCAGTTTTGGACATGTTGAGTGTTAGGCATTGTCCTAGACCCTAGGGTCCCTGCCCTGACTTCCCAACATGGTGCTACAGCCAGCACGAGGGCACCGAAAGGGGCTGTCCTTCGCTCTCTCTGGAGGACCCACAGCCGGCCCATGTCCTGGTGGCCTCCCTGTGGTGCCACCTGGGTGACAGAGCCCAGCATGCACATTTTGGCCAGGCTGACAGTGGGAACTGGCCACCAGAGTTCTCCTAGCTGAGCTGATTCAGCACTGAAATCCCCTCTGCACCATCCCTAGCAGCAGCTCTGGGAAGCTCATGACATGCCACAGACCCCAGTCTGTCTTCTGGCACCTTGGACTGCACGGACCGTTTCTAAGTTGTGAAAGAAACAGCATTTATTGACAAATGAGCATTTATTGAGTGTTTACTGTGTGCGGAGGGAAGATAGGAGGGTGCCATCCAAAAAACGGAAGGAGCCCTGCCCCCAACGGGCTCACAGTCTAGCTGGGAGGCACTGCCTAGATACAGAATCACAGCTTAAAAGATACAAAACAATATGGAAGCAACATGTGCAGGTGCAAAGTCATCTGGCACAAAGTGGGAGCGTGGAGGTGGAGGCAGCTGGGACCCCGTGGTCAGCCACTCCTGCGCTCAGCTCAGAATCCTCTCAGTCTCCAGCTTGGGGACCTGAAGTTCTGTTCATCTGCCTCCATGCTTCCTTGCCTCTGTCTGGTTTGGCGTGTGTTTGACATCCACCCTCCTCCAGACTGGGTGCTCTTCAAGGGCAGAAACCAGCTCGTGCCTTTGTCATTTTCTCCCTCCCTGACCACGGCCCTCCCCAAGGCCCCATGTCTACCACAAGGTAGCAGGCTGGGCTGGACAGGCTGGGTTGTGTGCGCTGGTTTCTGCCAGGGGCTCCCAGGAGGGGCCTAGGATTGGCCTCGGCACAGACCTCGTCTCGTCTGACTTCTGAGTGGAAAGATCATGAGATTTTGCATAAGAAGTCCTGAGTTCAAGTCTTAGCTCTATATACAGCCGTGTAACTTTAGGCCAGTCTTTTAGCCTCAGCCTAAAATGGGAAGGACAGTATTTGCTTGCCCTGTCTCAAGGGATTGGGAGATAATTACAGGAGATGATAAGGGAGTGCTTTGGAAAAAGTAAAACCCAGCATGACTGCTGGCTGCTGTCCTTCCCTAACCTGCCTGAAGTTTTAGGAGGATTAGATGAGCTAACGCAGGTAAAGCACCCAGCACAGAAATTGGGACACAAGAGATGCTTAATAGGTGTCAGTTCCCTTCCACCCCCATCACTTGAATCCTGCTTTGACCTCTGACCTCAGTGACCCCAAACTGGGCAATTG